TGCCACCACACACGCTTGACACCATCTGAACCAAATAAGTTTATCTTAGACTCATCAGACCACAGGACATGGTTCCAGTAATCCATGTCCTTAGTCTGCTTGTCTTCAGCAAACTGTTTGCGGGCTTTCTTGTGCATCATCTTTAGAAGAGGCCTCCTTCTAGGACGACAGCCATGCAGACAAATTTGATACAGTGTGCACATATGGTCTGAGCACTGACAGTCTGACCCCCCCACCTCTTCAACCTCTGCAGCTATGCTGGCAGCACTCATACATCTATTTCCCAAAGACAACCTCTGGATAGCACGTGCACTCAACTTCTTTGGTCGACCATGGCGAGGCCTGTTCTGAGTGGAACCTGTCCTGTTAAATCGCTGTATGGTCTTGGCCACTGTGCTGCAGCTCAGTTTTAGGGTCTTGGCAATCTTCTTATAGCCTAGGCCATCTTCATGTAGAGCAACAATTCTTCTTTCAGATCTTCAAAGAGTTCTTTGCTATGAGGTGCCATGTTGAACTTCCAGTGACCAGTAAGAGAGTGAGAGCGATAACACCAAATTTAACACACCTGCTCTCCATTCACACCTGAGACCTTGTAACACTAACGAGTCACATGACACCGGGGAGGGAAAATGGCTAAGGAGTGTACTCACTTTTGTTGCCAGCGGTTTAGACATTAATGGCTGTGTGTGGAGTTATTTTGAGGGGACAGCAAATGTACACTGATATACAAGCTGTACACTCACTACTTTACATTGTAGCAAAGTGCCATTTCTTCTGTGTCGTCACATGAAATGATATGAGATAGAGAGAGAGAAAGAGAGAGAGAAAGAGAGAGAAAGAGAGAGGAGATTTTTCCCTAAAATCTTTCATCTGCGTGGATTCCGCTAGTTTGCAGCTTACTGTAGCCACAAACGTGTGGAATCCGTCGAAAAAAATTGCGCTTGGACTATCTTGTGGGCTGTGCGGTTTTGTACAGCATGGCCGCTGCAAAAGTAAAAAAAAAAAATGCACATTACTCAATGTTTAGAGCGGCTCCGCATCTATTTGTACTGCTGAATACGCACGGACAACCACTCCTGTGTGAATGGAGCCTTAAACAAGACCTTGCTCACCACTAAAATTGACCTGTGCCCCAACTATAAATTATATGCATATTGTTAAGCAGTAAACAGGCTTTTAAACAAGGCATCCCTAACTTCTCTGGTTACTTGTAATGTAATTGATTGTTAAAGATTCTCAAAGGTCACAGCAAAAACTATATAAAGTTTATTTCTAACATCTTAGAAACTCAAACAATGCAAATCATGTGAAATATCAGGTCAATCAATCACAAAACAAGAACACAGGCTCTGCCAGCCATAGAATACATCAAGTGCAGAACAACTGCTCACCACCATTATTATCCAGCAGTACCTGAATGTAGATATCATGGTGGCTTTTCATGTGCTGGAAGAGCTGTGGGAGAACGTCAGACAGGTGATCTCTGTTGCTGGTACAGGGCTGAGATTTTGCAGGTCCAGGGACACTTCCTTATATTCTGCCCCCAAGGCCCCTTCACACGTTACAGACAAGCAGCATCCCCCTAGTTGTGGAGGCTTCTGACTCCTCCCCATCCTTCACACAGTCAGGGAGCTAGAGCAGATACAGGAAGAGCTGTCTCTTCTACATGGTAGCAGAGGTGCCAGGCATATACAACTGAACGGCCGTGCCCGCAGCACCCCCGCAATTGGATAATAGGGCAGCGGGGGCTCAGTGACGGGCCCCGTCGTGGCCGCGGGCCCTCGGGCAAGGGCCGAGTGCCCGAATGGTCAGTCCGCCCCTGGGGCAGAGACGCAGTCACACCCCCCATTTGTATTTCACACCTCTGCAGCTCTTGTTGCCGTCTGCAATCAGCTTTGCCTGTCCCAGCATTGTTGTCACCTATACTCCCTATAGGAGCAAATGTCACTCAAGCACTCTGTGGCAGGAGGCATGGCTGCCTGTGATGTAAAGGCACGCTTCAGGGTCTACAGGAATGCTGTGTGTCACAAGCACAGCTTCCTGTAGTCAGAATGTAGGAACACATACGGCACTTTCCCATCAATAGATCCCTGTGGTTGGTGTTGTCATCCATTTACAGGAAAAGGCGGATCCTGGTAAGATCAACAGTTACTAGCTCACCCCATAAAAAACATACCTATGTTAAAATTTAAGATGACATGTGCAATTAAGCCCTCGTTCACACCTGAACGTTTTGTAGCGCGTTCTACGCTCGGCGAACGCTCTACAAAACGCTCAAACAACTAAATCCCATTGTATTCAATGGGTCTGGTTCACACCTTGGCGTATTTCAGCCCGTCCCTAACGCGCTACAAAACGGCCCACGCCTGAAAAGGTATATGTACTACTTTGGGCCGTTTTTGTTGCGCGTTGCCATTGGGATACAGTCAAGTAGCCCTCGGGAACGTGCGTTTGTCGCACAATTTTTTTACAGCGAATCGCGGTAAAAAACGCGCGACAGACGCGCATATGCAATACGCCTAGGTGTGAACCAGGGCTTAAAGGCAAATCAGTTTTTTGGTTTTAGAAACCGGTCAAACCCATTATACTACAAAAGTCAGGCAACGAGCATTTTCAAATGGAGGTCAGTAATGGCAGCTCGCCATATTTCTCTAAAACAAGTTTAGTTTAAGCAGCTGGAAATGTATACAAACATATCAATGTACCAACAGAAATGTACTTTCCTCTTCATTGTGCCTTGAAAACAGGCAAAAGTCAATTGGCAGATTTCTACTGGAATATTAGTGATGTGCCAATCGTTACCTTTCTACACACAAATTATTGAGAAGCCGTTAATGAAGCATAAGCAGAGGGATGTAGGTCAGGCCAGTGTTTTGTATATGTCATGAACACATTAAATGTGTTTTATTAAAAGTATGAAATTCAATTTAACAGAAATTATCAGAACTTGCCAAAGATGTTGAAAAATGAGGACACCATTTAAATGTAACCTCTGACTCCTGTACCAAAAACATCAGCAGGAGTGTATGTAGAGAGATATTCAGACACGAGAGGGCAGTCTTCTACTACAACTGAATCATCTGTAAACTCCTCTAAAGGAACAGAAACAACTGCCATTAAGGGATTAGAGGCCATAAAACAACCATTAATGACTGTTTGCCATAGGATACAAGTGAAGTACAGATTACATAATTATAAATACACATATCAAGTGAGGAACAAGGGGAGATGGTACATTGTAACTATTTGTATCACTTCTCTTATAGTTAAAGAGAATACAGGCATACTTATGAGTCCTGTACATGTGCCCTGTTACTCTGCTTTTTTGTCCAAGATTGACGCTCAGAGTCTTCCTGTGGTCTGAAATTTGCTACCATGTCAACTGCTTGATCTCATCTCGATAACACACGCTGCCTCTTGGCACCCGGTTGTGGATAAAAGTATTGCATAGTTAAGGGGAAAGTATTAAAGTAAGTTAAAACCTTAACTGGATGCCAATGTACTGTATTTGCTAAAACACTGTGCATCAAACTATTATTTTTCCATTGATCTCCTGATACCCATTTTAGCCCCTTCTTGCCTACATAAACTTGCTCTGGCAGCCACACATTATTGCGCTCAACCAGTTTCCTGATAATGACAACAGTGAGCTATGCCAGCTCAATGTGAGAGACAGTTGTCACCCTTAAACAGGATTTGCTTGAACGAGGACATCATGGCAGGATCACAAGATACTGATTGGGTTGAGGTCTACTTTAAGGAGGCTTGTTATTTGATACTGTTATGTATGAACAGGAGCTCAGAGATGGTATTACCAGCATGAGGTCAAACAGTTGAAAGGCAGTCAAACATAAGTGGGCTACTCAACTTTAAGTTACCATGACTAGCATTCCTAAAGCAAAACTCCAGGTATTTTTTTTATTTATTAATCCTTGCAGTGGGGCTACCCCCACACTGCAAGGGTGAACTGCTCATTTTACTCTAGGGCTAAAAATAACAAAGCTCCGGGGGAGCCCCACTGCAAGGTTTAATAAAAAAATGACCAAGTTGTTCTTGAAATGCTCCATTTGTATGCTTGATATATATAACACTCATATCTCTGTTATAATTGCTACATTGAATATGCCATTTTAAAAGGAAAACTTGGCTGAGCGCAGCAACTCCTAGTATGATGCTAGACAATTGGAAGACAGCTTCTGATTCATTGATCTAAATGTCTGCACTGTGCTCTTCACCTTACCTAACCAGTTTGGGAACTTGGACGTAGCAGAAAACATCCTGAAAACAAAGTTTCTAGTACATATCTCCTATGGTCTGCACCTCTTCGCCCGTGCGGTGGCAGTTATTTCTGGATGTCAAATTGACAGCAGGATGAAAAAAGGGGCATTATTTGTTCTTCTACACATGTAAAGTAACACCATAACTGAATCATTCCATTAGAATTTTTATTTTCTTGGAATTACACCAGAACAGTGTTCCAAGCAATATATCTGATAAAGGAGAACCAGTTTGAGATGTTATGTTGTTGGAGATGAAACTGAAGCGAACGTGTTCCCTAACTATTATTCACTGTCCTTGACCCTGGAGTGTCTTCTTCTACCTTGAAAATCCAACTCTGTAAACTATGAATATGAAACTGAAGGAACTAAAAGCAATAATTGAGACACAACAAAATAAGAGGGCACCGGTAATTTTATTAGTGGACTCTGGGCATTGTATCACAAGATTAACAGCAACAGGCAAGACTAGTGAATGAGTAGCAATGGAAACCCTTCCTAGCCTGCATCCAAAGCACCAAAAATGGAGCTGTTGTGACTACGTGTGATAATCCAATTCCAAAAAGAACTGGCTGTTTCCTGTATTGTCCATACTCTAGCAATACTCTATTGGGGTTGTATCACTTTACATTAGAGGACTACGACATGCACATACTTCCCTTGGAGGTAAGCAACGAGGATACAAGGGAAAAAAAGTAATGAGAAGAGAATGGCTTAGTTTTCATCTTTCTGTGCCTACGATTGTACAGGTACCTACAGCAGTTCATCTGTTTCTGTGGTAACATAACACACATGCACAAGTGATATTGTTGGTGGGGGAACATGGCCAGGGCAGAGCACAGAGACAATGAAATCTGCAGGATAGACAAATTGTGCAAACAAATCTCAGCTTTGTACAGTCAGTTTCTGCTCTGTTAGGGAGGCCTGCTGGGCAACCGTTTTGTTCTCATGGCTCCGTAATTTGGATACAACTTCAAGGAATGACAAGCTTTGAACTTCCTTGTGCAGAGGCTCTGTAAAAAAAGCAGCATGCAGACATTAGAGATGTGAAATATGACAGGAAATATAACAGTATCTGCAATCGAAGGACTGCTATACAAGGTCTAGTACTGTAAGTGATGCAAATGATTAAAGCATTTGTGAAAACAAGACCACATAGGGGTTAGGTCCAGAGATAAGGGGAGCTCTGGAGGGCTAAAAACATCTATGGCCACTATGCAATTTTCTTTACAGAGAAAGAAACAACACTTTCCCCATGTACCTGTATGAGTCATGGGGAAATATCATGGTGTGACTTGGTATGCACAGTGACGTGGATACTGACTTAAGTGGTGGGGAGATCTTTCATAGCCTCTTTCGGTAGTAATCCTGACAAATGTACATTAATTACCTCATTCTACTTGTACAATCCTCCATGTGGCGCTAATTTAGATTGTAAGAAAATGGTGCTTGTATTATCCCCAGATAAAGTGCAAATGCCAATAAACCCTTGCACTTTATGGGGTATACGGTGGGTTAAGTAGAGCTGCAGCTAACGATTATTTTCAAAATCGATTAGTTAGCCGATTATTACGTTCGATTAATCGGATAAACAATTAAAAAAAATTAAAAATGGCTCCAGTGATGGACTACTAGTTTGTATTGAGATTGTAGTCCATCACAGGAGCAAGCTTGGAGCGGTGGAAAAAAATAGTGTGGTGTGCCATATAGTGAAAAGGAAAGTGTAAATTTATACAGCAATGAATGCAGAATGGCACCGGCTATAGAGGACTACAAATCCCAGCAATAGTACATTATAGCTGGCAGTATTCTGCATTGCGCTGTATAATGTATTATTGCTGGGATTTGTAGTGCAGAATATCACCAGCTATAGGGCGAAACAACAAATGCGGCGTGAAGAGTGTGGATGCGGGCGGGCGGGTCTGGCAGCGGCGAGCGTGAGGTGGGGAGGAGGTGCGGCGCGCAGCGTGTGTGGAGCCGTGAACAGGGCCAACTGATCGGGAGCCGATTAATCGATTATTGAAAAAGTTGACAACTTTTTAAATAATCGATTATAATCGATTATGTCGATTAGTTGTTGCAGCCCTAGGGTTAAGATAAATAAAGGTGAATGTTTACTTTTAAGGATATGATCAATGCTGCCCTTCACGCCTCTGCAGCAAAAAAAAACCTCAGTGGAACACTGTACAGCAGAAGCCAGCCTACTCACTGCTCTGCCTGCTACAGTGTTAACCAGCTTTGTCACTCTGTAGGACTGACCACACAGAATAATTTGGTCCAGTTTGGGCAGTCCCAGCCTTTGGTTTGTCAAATACATAATTGTCATGGATCTGTAGAGAGCCGAAGCTGATCAACACACACACACACACACACACACACACACACACACACACACACACACACACGTTTTCTGTAGCTGCCGGGTAGACAACATTGATTTAACATTTTAAAGAACATATATCCTTTAACGGGAGATGCTCTATAAAGCCTCCATGGTGATGCAGACTCTGAAGTAGTTCTTATTATGGCTGTATGTGTTATGTACTAAAAGCCATTGTATTATGAGATTGAATCTAGCAGCGTGCAGCAATGTCCTTCAACATGAATTCTTGAATCGTTGAAGTGCTTCTGGAAATGTGCATCAAACCGCTCAGGTGTGAATGCTGCGACATATCAGGATCACCTGGATTTTAATAATGGCAACAGGCTGGGTTCACACCATCGAATATGCACGTTTTTACCGCGATTCGCGGTAAAAAAAATGCACGTTTCCGAGGGCTACCTGACTGTATCCCAATGGATACGCGCACCAAAAACGCCCCTAAGAAGCTCCTGTACTTCTTTGGGCGTAGGGCGTTTTGTAGCGCGTTCATACGGCCTGTAATACACGCAGGTGTGAACCATACCCATAGGAAATAATGGGATTTCGGTGTTTGGAAAAAACATTGATAATATGTAAGCATTGTCAAAATAACATCTATTACTTACCAGAACCCATAACTGCACAGATCAAAACCATAGAATTGTACTTGATCTCTGGAGCACTTTTGTCATCTGATAACAGTCTATGAAGAACTTGAACTAACTTTGCGCTTTCTAGATGACATTCAGCTGATTCTAAAAGAAAAGAAAGGGAGTGTGTGTGTTAACAATGCTGAGCCTCTATACACTAAGAATACTAGAAAAGCTACATAAGGAAGTACCGAAAAGAAAGAAAACACAAGTTTTAAAGTGACATTAAACTCAGGAGGATAAATCCTAAAAATACATTCAAGTACCTTAACAATTAACAACAATGGGGGGAATTTATCAAAACTGGAGCAGACAAAATCTGGAGCAGATTTGCACTGCAGTCAACCAGCTTCTCTGTCTCATTTTCAAATCTTATCTGAGCAAACTGAAGAGAGATGCTGATTGGTTGCCATGGCCAACTGCTCCAAAATCTGTCTGCACCAGTTTTGATAAACTCCCCTCAATGTATCTTATATGTGCATCACCCAGCTGTAGATCCTCAAATCATCTCTGAATTTGGTGCCGACACTGTCCTTCCTTCTGGAGGGTGGCTACTTTTCTTCCCCATGGTCCCTGTGTGTTTTGTAAAGTGGACACTGCTCCGAGCTTGCTCCTGTGATGGACTACAATCTCAATACAAATTAGTAAACTAAACGTGAGATTGTAGTCCATTACAGGAGTGAGCTTGGAGCGGTGACTACTTTACAACACACACAGGGACCATGGGGAACAAAGGTAGCCACCCTCCAGAAGGAAGGACAGTATCAGCACCAATTCAGAGATGATTTGAGGATTTACAGCCGAGTGATGCACATATACGATACATTTTTGTTGATAGTAAAAGGTATTTGAATGCATTTTTAAGATTTAACTCCTGTGTTTTGTGTCACTTTAAGCCTTTCCTTAAAATCTGGTATATAAAGTTTTTTTTTTATATAAAACCTATATTCCATTATGCAGTTTCCCTCATGCAATATCTGAAGGCTTGCATACAAAGCACAAGAGGAGTTATTAGGGCTGCAGAGTATCTTTATAGTTTAAACTGTACCTTCATCAAAAATTGCATAGTTAAGCTCAGGGTGCTAAAGGATGCCAATTATGTTTCCTTCCTATCCTACAGAGTAAACACACTGACTGATAAATGTGACACCAACATTTTCTTTTGGTTTGGTTGGATGGCCATCATTAAAATTAATGTGTTACCTTGAATTTTGCATACCATACTAACTAATGACATCCTAATTTTTAAAACCCCTACAACCCGTTTTTAGGCAAGTTTATATGGCAAAACGCTAAACCGTGTATTAAATAAACAATTTCTCACACTTCCAAAAAATTTCAGAGACTACCAACTTTAAACAATTCCAAGTCCTCTTGAAGCGTATAATAGATTGGAACGGTTACTCCTCACTCATGGACTGGGTGATTTTGGTGGAAGACATGTTGGGTACCCGTTAGCATCCATCATGTGAAATTCTAGACTATACATTTACAACTGTTAGACCAGGGCTCAAAATTTCCACTCGCCTGCTCGCATTTTGCGAGTAAAAATAAGGTGAGGGCGAGTGTAAATTTGAGTCTCCGAGTACTGGCTCGCGGCCCAACTCCGGCCTGCGAGCCGGTACTATGTGACCCGCAGACAGCTGACATGTCAGGCAAACGGTCGCAGAAATTTGTGCTGGGCTGGGGGAGGTGTAACGTTGTTGAGAAGTGTATTATTGTGCTTTAAGCTGCCCATACACCTTACAGCCATCGCACGACTTTCGTTATGCGATGGTTGTGAGGTCATTAAAATCTCGTACGATCTGCCCAGGGCTTCCGATCTGCCCAGGGCTTCCGATGATTGCAGTGGTGAGTGGGCAGGGTGCGCTTGCGCACACCGGCCCGTGTGGCATTCGTCTTCCGACCATGCCACCAACCCACCAAAAATCGTACAATTTTCGGCAGGTTTTCCAGCGTGCTTGGAAGACGAAAGTCGTACGACCGTACAGTAAAAGCGGTCGCATGTTGCCCATACACCTGCCGATTATCGTACGATCTCGGGATCACCCACACTATTATAATGCTTAAAAGATACCTTTTGGAGGGATAGCCGAAAGTGCTCATCTCTACACTTCTCAGTCAACTAGACAACAATTTGGACTATCCCCTAGGCAACTAAATCCAAAACAACCACTTAGAATATCGGCACATTATTGCATACACTTAGAATATCTTGCAGACCCTTACTTGAATTCATGGACTGAGGTCAATTTTTCCCATTAACTGATTACTGCACTGAATCCAGAAAGAATACAACCCCTCTGGACATATTTGCAGATTAAAGACTATACTCTGACCAACAAAGCAAAAATAGGATATTTAACTTGCCTAAAAGATCCTTTTCCAGGAGTACAGTACAGGACACAATCTTTAGTTTCAGCCCTGGGATTTATTTAGGTCAACTTTGGGTGATTGCAAACTGGCAAAGAGAGAGCTTCAGGGACAGCTACTTTATAATCCTCCCCTCTCCCAGCAAGCCTCAGTTTTGTAACAAGCAATAGGGAGATCATAAGAACAGAGCTGAGTGACCTAAGTTCTGTACTTTACTCCAAGAAAAGGATTCAATAGGCAAGTCAAAAATATTATCTTCTTAATCATACAGTACAGGACACAGGATTGTTAGCCTTAAACGTGGGACATCACCAAGCAGTCCAACTGAGGGTAGGGCAGCAACCAAACACTAACAGGCACACAAGGGACAAAGGGCAAGAAAGAGCTTAGGAGGGCTCAGAGGGCAAGTTGACGCACCTTACACTGCCATCAGAAGAGCCCTAAAAATCCACCTGGTAAAACCTAACAGACCTGTGAGCAGAGGACAGTCATGCACATCTGGAAAAAAGATGTATGATGCTGAAAAGTCCATGAGGAACTAAGAGAGATAGAGTGAGCATTAACAGGAAAGTGGGAACCCTATCCTTCAAACTATGGGCTCCAATGATGACCTGTATAATCCACCTTGCAAAGGTGGAGCGGGAAACAGATAGCCCCCTGCAAAATCTCCCTGCACAGCTGCTGGTGTGCGTGTCCCCAAACAGTGCCGATTTCATTTTTTTTTTTGTAGAACTTTATGGAAATGTCTGAAGTGACATTTCATTCATTTCTATGGACTCACCACAGCGCGATGCGTATATACCGCGTTTCACTGCTGTGAGCTTAAAAATAGTACTATATACCGTACACCACCCAAACATGGTTGTGTGAACCGCGCCCATCTATGACGAGGCAACTTGCCTTGTCTTGCATTCAGGCTGCGTTGAAATAAGGGGCCAGTACAACCCGAGTGCAGATAGTATGAACTGGCCCTCAGGCAGGACAAAGAAGTAATCTGCTGGCTGGAAAGAGGCGGTAGCAGAGAGGTAAATGTGAACTGCGCATACCACATCCAGGCAGTGAAATTTCCTTAGAATGTTTTAGAGAAGGATATAAAGGAGGAAATAAAAATGTTCCGGTGGATGTAACTACCTTGGAAAGAATGTCACTGTGCAACACACAGGAAAGGCTCCTCACAGGATAAGCCAGATTATTCAGAAACCCACTTTGCACAGATAATAGTGACAAGGAAGGCTATCATAAGATTAGATAACGGAATATACTAAATATCTTTAAATGGCAGCCTCTGGAGGGCTGACAGTCGCAAACGGAGATCCCACGTCATCACTGGGGAGAGAACGTGGCAATGTGTGAGTGACATTCTGTAAAAGGCCTTAACCAAAGAGGTCAGCGATCATTGGAACAAAATAGCCAGAGTTGAGATCTGCCCCATGATCATGCTCAAGGCCAGCTCAGAAAAGATAGTATTCTCCCCATGGAGGTTTTTCTAAGATGGGATTTCCTTGCCTCACACCAGGCAAAATAAGACTTCCAATGTAATATTAGACCTTGTGATGAGGTCGACTACCTAGATTTCAAGAGCGTAGTGATGACTCAATCCAAGAGACCCGTTTCTTAGGACCATGGCTTTAACAGCCAAGCCATTAAAGCCAGCAACTGAGAAGATGATAGAGAACTGGTCCCTGGGACGGATGGTCTGGATGGTCCAGAGGGGCCCACGGAGAGTGTGCCAGGAGTCTGAGTGTGTACATGGGCCATGGGTTCAATGAGAATTACTGGGATGCTCCAACGTCTCAATCATGCACAGCAGGGGAGTGAGAAGCCTTGAAGAGGGAAAGGCATTGATAAGGTTGAACTGATTCCACGGAGACACCAGAGCATCCACTGTGAAGGTATGAGGGCCCCTGGACTTAGCAACAAACCTGTCCAATTTGTTGTTTATCTTGGACGCCAGAATGTTCATGTCCTGAGTTCCCCACTTGCAACAGAGAGCTTGGAGCACCTTTGGGTCCAGACATTAACCAATGAGGAAGTTCCCCTGCTGATTTTCACATGGCAGTCAGGTCTAGGATGTAAAGTTCTGCTTAGGTCAGGATGAAATCTGATTCTCTTTGAGCTGCGCGACTTCCTGTGCCCCCCGACAGTTGATGTAGGCCACTGCTGTGGCACTGTCTGACTGAATCCCAGTTGAATGACCCTACAGTTGGGATTAGGGCTGCAACAACTAATCGACATAATCGATTATAATCGATTATTGAAAAAGTTGTCAACTTTTTCAATAATCGATTAATCGGCTTCCGATCACGGTGTGGGGGATTGACAGCCGCCGATAGGCCGATCTCAGAAGTAGGTTGCTGGAAGACTGCTCAGGTAAGCCTCCCCCCTCCCCCCCACATAGCCGGTGCCATTCTGCATCGCTGTATAATGTATTGCTGGGAGTTGTAGTCCTATATAGCTGGTGGTATTCTGTTTTGATGTATAATGTGTTGCTGGGAGTTGTAGTCCGCTATAGCCGGAGGTATTCTGCATTGCTGTGTAATGTATTGCTGGGAGTTGTAGTCCTCTATAGCCGGAGGTATTCTGCATTCATTCCATGTCACTATACTGCACACCACACTTCCCCCGCTCCTGTGATGGACGACAATCTCACTACAAACTACAAGTCCCATCACTGGAGCCATTTTTAAAAATGTATTTTATATCCGATTAATCGAACTCAATAATCGGCTAACTAATCGATTTTGAAAATAATCGTTAGCTGCAGCTCTAGTTGGGATGTCCAATTAAGAGACAACTGAATCGCCCTGAGTTCCAGGATGTTGATGGGAAGCTTGGCTTCTTCTGATGACCAAGTCCAAAGTGAGCGCACAGGCAGGATTCAGTGGATCTGCATGGAGAAACATTACAGGCTGGACCTGTGTCTTCCTCCAGGAGGGTCCGAGGCTTGAGGCTTGCAGGGAGAGGGAGGGGGTGTATAGGTGGTGTAACTACAGCTCTTTTTCTCCCAGTATCCAATTACCTGAAGGTAATTGTATATAACCCAGGGGTATATACAAGTAACATCCATTTCTCAGACCCTTAAGTACTTTTTGAGAAGATCTTTGTAAAGGGACTAAAGACCAGACACACTATTTTGATCATCCTCATGCTGCTACTAAAACCAAGTACGGACCTCCCGTATTTTAAAGCACGCTAGGAAAAGGATACCCTGTTTGAAGACAATGGGAAAAATAAGTTGCACACTTACAAATAAATGCTGTATCAGTACAACACTTCAGGAAATGGCTTATAAAATTATTTCACGGTGGTACAAACCCCCCTAAACACATGTTTTCCAGACATCCCAAATGTTTGCTGGAGAGGCTGTGTAGGACAGGGCTCCCTTCTTTATGTTTGGTATGAATGTCCTTCATTACAACATTTGAAGGGACATCCATTCCTTCGTCTCCCAGTGTATACTTATTACATAACACCAACACCAACTGCACACCAACCTGCCTCTTACAAAATAAAATGTATTTCTATCCACGCAGCAAAAACCCTTGCCCAACACTACCCCTGAGTGGCTTAGTAGAATTAACCACATAGTTAAATGGAGGAAGAGAGAGCCATTGCAAATTACTCCCTTGACAGATTTAGAATTCCATGATCGGTTTGGAATCTTTCAAACAATTTGCAACTTTAGCAGGTCATACAAAAATATTTTCTTAGTTCAATTTGCGGGCTGAACAAAGAAAATATTACAGATTCCTCCATCAACGCTTACAAGCATCGATTGCGGAATCTCCTGCTGTCTTCAATGTATTCTAGAGGCTGCTGGCTCAGTTCCTTCGAAGATTTTCTGACCGGCTCCTTCAATCAAGTGACTGAGGGATGATGGCTGAAAGAGTTACGACAGCGGCACTCACTGAGAATTTCGTCCAGTTCATCAACCGGACAAAATTTGTACACTGTATGGCCACCTTTACGCCTGATACCTCCACGGAAGAGGAAATCTTTTCTCTTTGAGGTCAACCCAGGCCTTGCTCTGAGAAGGATCATCTGTCAGATTAATTGTTCACTAGACACTTAAATATCCATATCCGTGGTGGCTAGTTTGTGCCTCCTCTCCCCCTTTTTCTTCTAGTTCTCTCTCTCTTCTCTTTTCTATTCAAATACTTTTTTTTTTTTTAATCTACACTCCTCTCTCTTCTTGTTTTACTGATTTTGTCTAGATATAGTGTATTCTCCGTCTCTCTTCCCTAAACATTTTCTTGAGTTCAGAAACAACTTTCAAGATGGGACGTCCTGTAAACTATTGTGCACTGATTCAGCAGACAAGAAAAGACAACAATGGGCTGTCCCCTTCGGCCCTGCACCTGTGGAAAAGGCAGGGGACATTTAGAAGCTCCCACTTCATTTTACTTTATGGACATCAGGCCTGTCTGGTTTTGGATGATGTAGCCCTTGCCCCTTCACCCCATGGTCTTTTAACACCCAACCTTTCTTTTTCTGCGGTGGGCCTGGAACCTTTTAAAGAGAATTGGACAACGTATGTGTTACTTGAAAACCTGATCTAATAATAAAATCCTGCACTTCGTGATAATTTTATCTGTATGTTCTATTGTAGACATAAATAAAAAATACAAATTCTGCAAGTTTTACTCTTTTTTTCAATGGCTGTAAATAATCTCTAGCACATGTTGCACTTTCTTGTGGCTGGGCAAGGGGCTACAGAGAGGATCCCTGTTATTTGAGACTGGGAGCCTCTCTGAATGATAGAGAGTTCCAGATCATTAGTCAGACACTAGCACTTTCTTAAAACTAGTAGCTGCAGTTCCAAAAAGGAATGTAGATTAACATTTTCTCAGCATAGGAATTATACTGGAAAACATTCATTACCCTGAGAGTAGGAAGGGTGTAAGAACTATACTAGAGGTAGGAGTTTTTATATTCTTGCAGCAAAAATATGGAACAGCCTTACCAAAGCAGTTGTAAACTGGAAGGATTGACCAATTCAAAAAAACTTCTAGATGACTTCCTTAAAGGAGAACTATGGGGTTAAGTCTTTTCCCCATAGTTCTCCTTAGGGTAACGGGAGGACACAAACTAGCATCCTCCCGTCACCCTAGGCTCAGTATACCGCCAGCTGTAGCTGGCGGTATACTGAGAAGCCGCAGCTGAAGCGGATCCCGATAAATTGTGCAGGGATCCGCCCAGCTGCGTGACTGACAGCTGGCTCTGCCTATCTAGAGGCAGAGCCAGCTGTACCCGCCCCCTCCCCCGTCCGTTCCGCCAGTCAGCGCTGGAGGATCGGAGGGGGGAGGGGGGAATCCAGCCCCTCCCTTGTCACGGCAGAGAGCCGTGACAGGATCGAGAGGTGAGCGAACGCCGGTATTTGTTCGCTCACCTCCCGATCTACTGAGCCGACCTGTGACAGTCTCATTGTCAGAGGTCGGCTAGAACTATGAGGTGAGTGAAAAGCACTCACCTCATAGTTCTCCTTTAATGAGCACATCATACAGGGATAAGTATCTTTTCCCATCCTCATCTACTATGTAACCATGAGGCAAGATCATTAAGATTGCAGCTTACACGCTGATCATTCCAATTAAAACATATAAAGGCTATTTTGCACACAATCTTATCAGAGAAAGTTAATGTCCGTGTATCTCACTTCATTTCTATGTCGCTGATCACAAACTGCAGCAAATTCTTCCAATGCGCTAGCAGGACGTTAATAAGAAAAAAGAATATATCCTTTAAAATACTCACGTAATTCTAATGCGGCTATTAATCCCAAGGCAACAAGTGCTTCATTTTGCATTATTACATGTTCGCTGGTTGCCATGGTGACTAAGTGCTTGATGCCACCACTTTCGACAATGGTTCTAATTACATCCTATGGCAGAGAGAAATCAAGCAATAAAAGAAAACAAGAGTTGCATGAAATTGCTATCCCATCCATACACAGTATAAAGTATCCAATGGTCCATGGCACATTTTTTTTTTTGTTGTTAACAAATAGCGTGCATTATGTGGCCTGTTTGAACATTTTGGGCCGCTTGTTGGGTCATTAGATCCATTAAACTCTTTAGTCCCACTCTCCATTATTTTAAGAGGCATTTATAGAGAGATAATGCTTGGAACAATTACCGACAACATTTACAACTCATAAAATAATATTTCACCTCATGTTATTTACCGGGTGTTATTCAGGTTGCAGGTCATTGGTTACGCAAAGTCTTTTTTTTTTTTTTTTAAGTAGACCACAAAATTCATGCGGTGTTGAAAAAATGTGCTTGGACTATTCAAACTTAGCTTTTGATTAAAAAATGTACACACTCTGGTGAAGTTTAGTGAAAACAGGTCAGAAGATCTAGGAAAAAAAGCAGCTAAATTTACACCCCAATGTTTTCTGCAGAACATTTCCTGTTAAACTCAAGCTTGGCTCTGCCCCCAGACCTCCCTATTTATCAGAGGCGTATCGACAAGCTTTCACAGACATTTTCCTTCCTCCTGCTTTCATGAGACTGCTGAACCAACAGACCAATACCTCGTCCTGCAGGGCAAAAGCTTTGGTACTGAAATTACCATAGTCAACTACTATGCCCCTAATGCACACCAAGCTTGGTTCTCCTCTCCCTTTTCTTGTCATTTCCACCCACAAGAAAGCCAAACTGCTATTATTTGGTGACACCAATATGGCCTTTAAATAGAAAACTAGAGAAATCCAACTCTACCCCACACCCTCCAAAGACAAGGATACGGCTACATAAACTAAACTTCTAAATGACCACCTTGTAGAACACAAATTAATTGATCTTTGACTCTGCCCCACACAACCGCTTCACACTCTCTCACCTAAAACACCCTTCCTAACCAAAAGCCAATACAGATTAACCAACCATGTGGCTGCCAAACAAACTATCCCAAGAGAATGAAAAAAGCAATTTACACAAGTTTTGGAAGTTGGGCAGGAACATATTCCCCTCCCTACATAATACTGCCAGTCATTCCACATTCTATAATGTCCGCCAATAAACCGACTAGGAGAAACGAACCTGAGAAGGCAGACTAGAGAAGTTTCATCTTATTTGTGTATCCCCAACTTTTAAAAGATGTATTGTTTCCTTATATGCACTCCCAAGCACTTAAAAGGAGAACTATGAGGCGAGTGATTTCCACTCATCTTCATAGTTAGAGCCGACCTGTGACAAAGAAGCTGTCACAGGTCGGCTCTATTAATCGGGATGTGAGCAGAAACATGCAGCCGATCCTCTCACTTCCCGATAGTCACCACTCCCCACAGGGATTCCCCCCCTCCAGTACTGAGTGGAGGAACAAACGGGCAGGCACAGCTGGATCTACCTCTAGATAGGCAGAGCCAGCTGTCACTCACGCAGCTGTGTGGATCACAACAGTATTGTTGGGATCCGTCCCGGCTGCAGCGCTTTCAGTATATCACGAGCTGAAGCCCGCTATATACTGAGCTTTGGGTCACGGGAAGAGGTTAGTATATATCCTCCCGTGACCCTAAAGAGAACTATGGGGGAAAAACACATACCCCATAATTCTCTTTTAGTTCTCTTTTAATTCAACTCAACATTCTCAATTAGTGGAGACTTTTGTACATAGTATTTTTTTAATTTATTTTGTTTGAGAACTGTAATATCTGTAAGGACCACGATTACCAACCACACAATGTTTCTTCTATAAAGTTATTGAAAATGAACATATTTAATTTTGCATTAAATAGCTATGCTGACAACTACTGTAATGTTGAAAATGCATACAGGCCTTTCAAATAAACTCTTTTTCAGCATATTCTGCTAAAGTTACTTTACAACCAAAATTTTTTAGTATAAAGAAGGCCCTAAAAGTGGAAAACTATTGAATTAAAGATGTTAAGGAATATATTTTAAGAACAGGTTTTTGAACTACACATAAAAAGAAAAACTGGAGGTTTTTACTTTTATTAAAACCTAGGATTTTGGTAGGTACAGACACCCAACTTTTATCATACATGCTGCTTAGTGTCTTTGTAACTGACAGGCCACCAGAGTGAACAGCTGCAGTTCCAGGAAGCTTAGAATGAAAGTCATTATAACCCAATTCATAGAAAACTGTATTTGTGCCTGGTCAGTGATGTGAACAACGCACCATCACAGAAAAAAGGTGTGGTATGGTCAGTCTTTTTGCTATGTGCAATGATAAATATGGCAATCATTTCTTTGTTAGTTTCTTTTAGCTGGTACAATAATAGGTGTACTTCTTAATTAATTACACATTTTTACATTTATGGACACTGTCCCCTTGCCCATTACGGGCAGGGCAAGTCCCCCTTTCACCAACCACTTTACTGTAACCTACCCAGTGCTCCCCCGCAGTTCCTTCCCCAGTCAACACTAAAATACCCAGAGTAGGACCCCAAATGGAGCAGTGAGATCATGTCACAGTGCTGAACTAAGCTGAAGCACTATCATTGGGGGAGGTCACATGCTCCCCCATACTTAAAAGCACTGGGTATTTTTCAGTGACTGTCACAGAGAAAGGAACACTGGGTGAATGCTGGGGAAGAGAGTATAAAGTAATCACATGGTGATTTACACAGACACTGTCACGTTGCTCTGAATGGGCAAGGTGGCAGTCTCTTTAAATCATGTCTAAACCGGCATTTGAAGACGATAACAAGAAAAGATAAAACAGAAAGACTTATCAGGACACACATTACATACATTAGGATAACATTTAGAATGTATATATTTTAGATATCACATTTGTCCCTATATAGTAGATGGATAATCCACTCCTTGAGGGTAAAACCTGGAGGGCCAACTCGCAACTACACCAATAGAAAAGTCATGGACAGTAGCAAAGGGCCAATGAGGGGATTAAGGCCTTTGAGTTATACCCATAACTAAGAAAAACGTTTGGTGGTGATACACTTTAGAGAACTAGGAATAACTTGTAATTAATAATTAAGTAGAATGTGTGGTTGGGGTAAACAGTGTTACAAAGGTTCATACAGAAAGTGGGCAAGATTGTCAACTCTGCTATAAGATATGATGGGAAAAATACCTTTGATTTGCTGTGTCGTATGAGAGCTGACAGCAACCTGTTTGACTCGCCCATAACTCCAGCATGGTCTTTGGCTTCACACCATTCTACAAGCCGCTCAACTAGTACAACGTTCTTCCCCAGCTGTTCAGCGGCCTCAGCTGCAGTTAGATACACAAAATAATATTTCACACAGGATAGAAAGTTGATCGTTTGTGCCGATTATAATATGGATTAGATATATTTTTTTAACATCTCCACTGTGCCATATTATTTATTATGATATTTTACACACATTTGAAGATTTTGTTCTCCTTTGTAGTGTGTTTTAGACTGTACTCTCACCTACCTTGATGATTAACAACTGTGACCACATCAATTACAAGACAAGCAAACTAAAGAGTGTATAGTGGAAGAAAAGCTGGAGCCCTAGTAAAGCACAATACTGTGTTCCGCTAATATGCAAGGAAACCTAGCATGTATTTGTAATGAGAAAATATATCAGTCCCTGGGTATCTTTATAATTACACCGATTAGGTTCTCTAATATGCTAATTCCAACAAGTCCACTTTGCACTTAGTACTACTGACCACCTCCTTATAGGCCTATCATTGTGAGGGGCAACCTCACTAGCCAGTAGTAATTTGCAAAGTTGAGGCAGACCAGCTCGGACTTGTTCCCAAAATGTTGGATTTACCAGGAGAGAGCAATAATGCTCCCAAGCTTCTCCTGAAAAATTTTTTGAATATACATGATAATTATGGCGATACCTCAAGGTCCCTGAATTTTATTCACATTAAGATCTTCATGACCTGCCATGTGCATTTTGAAGCAAACTTTAAAACAAAGAGGAGGCAAAACATCTAATGTCTTTGAAAGTTTTCAATACCTTGGCAGCTGAGAAAGAATCTAATAAAAACGATTTTCCTCATGCTATACCATCCTTTTACCTTGAGCATCTATTAACATCCGCAGTGTTCCCAATAGTTTAAACTGAACCGGGGGCATTTCAGACTTCAGAAACTTTAGAACTTCTTCTGCTACTCCAGCCGACAGCATTTTTGCTTTATTGACAACTGTGATGGGGGAAAAAAAGCAGTTACAGAAAGCCTTTTGTGAATGCATTTCTCTGCCTACATGCGGGTAGAATAACGTCACTGAATCAGCACGAGTAAGTAAGAAACGTTGCAATTATGAATCACAATAAAAAGGCTAATTTACCTTTAGTATCGGAACCAATTTTCTTCTTTACGTGTCCCACCTCCCACTAAGTCTTATAATACAACACTCACACACAAAGTGTTCAGATACTTAGGTATGCAGAGAAAAACTGCTACTGCCTGCATAATGCTACCTCTGATTTTATTTCCCCTGCCTGGTCAGTAAGTGTTTCTCTATGTTCACAGCAACAGAGGGAAACATTAGTAATGACAGGAACATGAAAAATCCATTACATTTCCCAGTACTTTCTCATGAGACATTTTGCTTTTTACCAGAGGTCCTTCTGAGGTACCCATAGATATGAAATAGATAATGGTTTAAGGCAGTATTAAGGAACACAAACGCTTTCATCCTTCAGCTATTGGTGGAAATAGTGATCAGAGATATTAGAAAACCTTAGGAAAAAACAAGGGGCGCCTTTCCTAGTGTAGATACATTTAACTGAGGCATACTTTGCTGGCACACAGGTACATTATCTGTGCAGCTCTCACATGCACTCTAAGCCAGATCACAGAGGATATGTAATCCACAGGGAGCCTTGCGCGTGCAAGAAGTGATGCAAGGTGCCCCCCCTAGATTTCTTGGATTCCAGTTCTAGAGACTGAAGATGATGATGTCAAGAGAGGCCAATATGTGTTTTTCACTCCGAGAGAGGAAATAAACACCTAGAATGCATCTAAAGAGGTAAGGAGACCAAGTCATAAAATCACTGTACACTGGAGCTTAGAAGTGTTGGTCTCTTCACAACCCACTGTGTGATTGCTAAAAGCAATGCTCCCATCTGTTGACATATTAGTATTAATAAACATAATACACCTCTCTTATTCTCACTTTTAAATGGAATGTAGTAAACTTACCAGGAATGGCCAAGTTCCTCAGAGCGCTTAGTGCTGCATGCTGTACAGTTACATTGCCTTCTTCCACATGTCCATCTAGGAGATCTATGAGTTTCTGCACAATGCCATTGTCCACCATATGGATGCAGTTCCCATCTAAAATAAATACATTACAGTCAACCTTTGGCAGGCAATATATACAAAGACGGGATTGGTTTTAATTGAGGATTAATATGGGGTTTATGTCATTTCAATGGCGATGGTAATGGTCATTTCAATGGGAATATATGAAAGACCTTCACTGATCTGCTGATAGGTGACATTAAACAACTGACTCTGTGTAGGTCAAATGCAGTAGTAAAGTAGCTGTCGGAGCAGGTTGTGCTCTCATCTCAACTTTGAAAACAACTGTTTTCTATGTGCCCGTTTCACATTATACATGTGCTGTGGTGTACAGAAAAACACAGCTTAAAAAGGAGAATTATGGGCAAGAGTGAAATACACTCACCCCCCATAATTAAAGCCGACACGTGACACTGAAGCTGTCACACATCAGCTCTATTGATCGAGAACTGTTTGATCACATACTTCTGATCACTTAGTTCCCAATCTTCTCCCTGCAGAGAGCAGTGACTGTCATTCATCACTCTCCGTGGGATTCCCCATCTCCTTTCCATTCCTCCAGCGATGGACGGGAGAGGGGGCGGGTAGAGTCAGCTATCAGGTAGCGGGGTGGATCCTGATAATTTTGTCGGGATCTGTCCTGGCTGCAGCGCGGCTCTGCACTGTCAGCATATAGCGGGCAATAGCCTGCAATATGCAGAGTTTTGAATCACAGGAGGACATTAGTATATGACCCAACTTTTTTTCATAGTTCTCTTTTAAAGAACATGGTGTGAATAAACCGTTAATGCCTGAAACTTTATAGAAAAGCTGATATTTTTGTATTTTTTTCTGCAGCTGAAAGTTTCATAAAGTGATGAACTATTTTCTATACATCACTACATTGCCTAACAAATAATTTTGCAGCAACAAAAAAAATATAATGCCCTCCCTATTTGTATGAGAGGAGGGACAGTTTTGTGTCAAGTACATCATTGGCTAGGTCTTTGGATTTTGGCAGGGAAATCTGTAGGCACATCTATTTAGGTTGTAACAGGCTAAGCTATCACCTTCTGAAGTCTATGATCCACATATTTCTAAGGAGAGTTGAGCAGAGGGGAAGTATCTCTGCACTAAATGATACTGGAAGATGAGATCACAAACCAAGCTTCTGCTGGTAAAAGCGCCAGTGTAAGTGATGAAAAAAACTTACTTAACTCTACCCAAAATGAATTTACCTTTCCAGTATACATCTAACACCAATACGTAGCAGAATTACAATTTCTAATTTACATTACTTAATTCACTGGTATTACCATTTCTGGCAAAATTGGCAATGGCCAGGGCACCAGCTAGTTGTAATTGATGATTGTGAGATGGAAGCCAAGACAGCACCCTCTGAAAGACGCTTCCTTTTCCCCCCTCAAATAGCTTCTGCATGGACTCATCTATAAAAAGAAACAAAACACTAAACATAAAATCTGGGATACCACAACTTATTGCAGAGAAAGAAACAAAAACAAGACAGTTTTGGCTACTAAAAGCAACCATTGTTGGATTAACTACCACAGGCCCTGTGCTGTAATCAATTAATGGCGCCAGTTTAACTGGATCATGCAAAGTTAAGTGCACATGAACTGTGTTTTGCTGTTGATAGGGGTTTCTGAAACATTGGTGAATGTTTTGGAAAGTAGTGTTTGAATGTTAAGTTGGATCATATGCAGCGGTAAAGCTGGGCAACAGCTGGTGGAAGTTTGTTCTGCTGACTCGGCTGAAATTCGACCAGTGTATGGAGCCATTGGGACTGCCAATTTCCCCCAATCAAAAAAAAAAGGCGATTTTTCAATCAATTTTTGACAAAGAAGCTAGTCAAAACATCTCGGAATGCCTCACCCAGCACGGAAGGTACCGCACGTCACTGGACTGCAGCCAATAAGCTGTCGGGTATTTTGACAGCGGCACACCCACAGCTGTCAGAATACAATAGCCCGGCGGGAGGATTCTTCCATTCATGCTGTTAATATGGATGGGGTAAATGAGAGGTGTAAGACCAGCTTAATTTTCAGCAAAAATTTGTCATATAATGGAGACAATTGCTTCCAGGTACAGACAATGTGCATATGTATTGTGTGCGATTGTTTGATCAGCTTACTATATCTAATTATACTCCCTGTCTTTCCCTAACTCTTTATTAGTCTTAATTTTATTTTTTGCTTTAATAGCACTCTTGCACTACCCCAAACTCTCCTAACCCAGCAACTGGATGATGAGAACGAAGGGTGGTGAGAGTTCCCTGTCCTCCCATTGACTGGATCTCCCTAGCTCTGCTGGTGAACACGTTGGGGTTTGTGAGAGCGCAGCAGTCTACCCCAACAGTCCGATACACTCCCTTAAGTTCAGAACTTCTGTCCTCCACCAGCATAAGGCACAAGCGTTACTGATTTGAGCATAGTTGTGTAGGCGGAGTCTGACCCCTGTGGACAGACTGCTGTTATCACACAAAGCACAGTATGTTCACCTTCAGTGGGCTGCTGGGGAAGGGGTGTTTGGGATAGTTCAGGGACACTATTAACCCCTTCATGACTGAGGCCCTTTTTTCAATTTTTGCACCCATAATAAAAGTAAGACAATTACGGAGTTAACGATTTCAACTCCCCGAAACTGTAAAAGCTTAGGCAACAATGGGGCTTTAAAAGCAAACTTTTACTGACATAGAAAACAAAGGCTGACAAAGTCTAAAGAATTGGGGAGCTGAAATGACCAATGATCAACTTCTGCAATGGAAAAGGGTACACATGAAGGGAATTTTGGCAGATTTGTGCTGAATCTGCTGAAATTCGCTCCACGTGTACCCTACTTATCTACAAAGAGCACTAAGATGCAGAACTTTTTCTTAGTATCCCCCTGTACCTAGAGCAGCTGCCCACTCCACACTAACTTTAATCCTCTACTAGCAACAACCATGTCTTTGTGAACACTAAATGTTCATGTTATTAAACCAGTCATCAGAGAAATGCTGTGGCTGCCATTGCTAAACTCCTTTTTAAAATGTTAATCTCCTTGATGTTATGCTGACCCTCTGGCTACAATATTTCTGATTATCTGACAAAGATCAAGTAAGTAGATGAAGAAAGTTGGAAGTTCTTACAGGCATACATGTTCTAGGGCTATGGTTTTGAAGCCATAGGATCAGCATGAAAACCAAGCAGCAAATGCAGCATCCATATTCCTCTAATGACTTAAAAATTTAGCTAAACCTAACACCAAATTTATAATACTTACCAGCCCATAGATGTGGTGGCTGCATTCATTTTCTTTTTAACTTTATTTTTACCTGGTGATTTTGCTGGTAACACACTTATTCTCCTTGGGCGACCATGCTCACCCACTATACCCATGGAAAAGCAACGCTGTCACCCTTGGACAGGAAGCATACTAAAAATTACAAAAATTTACACTTCCCCTTAAATCTCCATTGCACAGAGAGGGGTTTTCTGTAGTCCAGAAAAGATGTCTGGGAAAGCAGAATACATGTGAGATATCAGTTCAGTGCCTAGGAAGTGACAAAGACAATGTATTTCTTAAAAGTGCAATCAATATTTTCTGCAATTGCTGAAAATGTTCTTAGCCTTAAAAGAGAGAACTGATGCAACCACCACATTGAAGAAGCTGTAAGGTGCAATATATTCAACTTTTGTTCTTGAATTTAGATACAAAAGCAAAGTATATACCTCCTAAAAGTAGCAGCACCATGAGATCTGAGGCAGTTTTGAGCTCTGCGACGTCTTCATCTTTCTCACTGTTCACAGTTTCATGGACAATATCAAGTAAACATTCTACCAGGCCGCCTTCAACAAGCTGCAGTTTAATAGCGTCTGGAAAACACAAATAGCAAGCATTAATACACACAGAAAATCTCCATAAGGATGCGCTTTTAACAAACAGCACGCAATACCATCTGGTAACAAGCTATTAGCTACAGCAGTAAAGATGACTTGCAGCACTCTTGAGGCACCTGCTGTATTTGCAGAATTTCACCTGTGGTTAAATAGATGGGTATATATCATTAGGCATTTTACCGGTGTGCCACCTGCATTCAAGATACTTTGGGCGGAGTCTCGCAGACGTGGATTGAAGATTGCATGGTCGGCAGCACAGCTCCTGTTTGATCTGTCTTTGCACCCAGAGAACACAGTGACACAGAGAGAGAGTTGTCGAGCATACATTTTATTTGAAGTTTTAAGTCTACTTTCCTCATGCGAGTAGTTTTTTAAATAAAGGAGTTTTTTTTAATGTTGCTGTTTTACGCTATGGGCTGTTTTTATATTTTATTGGATATGGTCATGATGACACGCTGGCGTAATTTTCTGTGCAACGATTGTGGAGAGATGGCCTTTGAATAAGATCGATTGGAGACCCATTAAAACGATTCTAGACCTGTTCAGCTCCATTTATAAGGTGAGCGGCCCACTGAAAGGGGGAGCACCTGGGTTATAATTGGAGTTGACATATGGACTTTGTACAAAGAACTTTCACAGTGGAAGGATAAAGAGTGTGGTGCACTTGGGACATATCTGGAGCACTATATACGTGTGATTCCACATTTGTGTATATTTAAACACGGAATATATGATTGACCTTTCCAGAGGATTATTATTTACAAGAAGATTCATTGTTAACACTTTTTTGATTGCATTCAAGATACTGTTGGCCTAAATCCCCCATTGGCTTATTATATTTTGCAGAACCTTAGATTATGACATCTCCATGCCCCAGACACTGCCTGTACAATATAACATGTTCTCCATAATTTAAACACAAAACCAGAGAGAAACCCCACTGCATCTGGACATTGTCAGGAACATAGGGGCAAAGATCTTGTTATCAGAGTACAATTGTATGAGAAGGAAGTGGACACTTCAAAGTCATTGCATCCAGCCGAAGTGTCAGTTTTGAGTAGACTACAGTAGGCTACAGTTCCATGCTAAGAACACACTGGATCACATATTCAAAGCCTCCCCATGTTCTGGGGCAGGAGGAGGCGTGGTGGTGCCATTCGCATGAATGGCACTGCCGACACGCCTCCTGCCCACAGTGCGATCACCCGGACCGTGTGGTACAGCAATGCCCTGCGTTCTAGTGTCATGCGATCGCATAACAGTGCATGCATTTACATGAATGGCACCACCACGCCACCTCCCTCCCCAGAACACGGGGGGGGGATGGGGATGGGGGGCTTTGAATATGCAATTTAGCGCATTTATGGCACGGAAGCGTGCCCTGAACGCACTGGATGGTGTGAACATGCCCTAACAACATACATGATCAGGAATGATGGACAGATTGCCATGACATGTGAAAGATTTACTTGAAATCAGCAGACCGTTGTCACTGGTGAACCTTAAAATTATCCAGTAGGCAGTCTAGAATGCCAAAAAAACTTACAGTGATCAGTGTTTAAAGCCACACTCCTCACACCCATTATGACCAAAAACTATGCTACCCTGAGGAGGGGACTCAACGCGGTCCCAAGACCTTAGGATTATGCATTTCATGTGGCACATTGTGAATAAACCCAAGCTGGTTATTTCCCACTTATGAAGTGCTGGTGGCTTCTCTTCGATTTATGCCAAAGAAACCGGATACATTAAAAATACTACCTAAAGATTAACTAAAGGCTAACTTTCCTTGCTGAGCCAAATCCTTTTTCATTTGTGTTTCACACGCTTTCCCCCTCCCCCTCTCCCATACATTGCGGCTCCCAATGGGAGGGTTTCAGCAACGCAGTGGGCCAGGGGCTGATTGACAAGCTACAGGCTTGTGAATTAGCAGTGACATTGATGATAGCCACAACAATTCCTCATCCCAATGTCGTGCAAGCAGGTCCACAGGTATTTGTGCACTTTGCAGGGAATATATATATATATATTTTGAAGCTGCTTCTACCATGGGCTCCTCTTCTCTGTTCTGTCTAGATGGCAGGACAGACCGACCAACCGGATAGCCCCAGCCTCTCATGAATGCGCACATGGCTGCAATGAATGTGCAGGCCACTCTCTCACAGCAGAACCGTCGTTCTGCTAACTGATAAATTGTTGGCTTAACAGTGACTGGAATTAGCTGTAGTCACTGTTTTGGTGTCCTCCCTTACAGGCCAACAGCACATATCGGCTTCAGCCAGTAAAGTTCTGCAAATTTATTAGGACGACCAGCTAGTATCACCAAGACGTGTGGTAAGTATGAGATTTCCTGCTCCCCCATTTTTTTCTAGGCAGGGGGGAATGGAGGCTCCAGGTTTCCTCCCAGTGTGGTCACTGCTGGGGCTGGAGAATTGACTGAACTGGTATTTTGAGTTACTCTGGCTCTCAGACTGCTCTAAGACAGACTGGCATTGTCAGAAACTTCCTGAGAGGAGGGAGCCATGACTTGAAGTAGAGGGTCATTATGTCATGGGTAAAAGGGCCACTGGCTTCCAAGGAAGATCACTTTTTTTGGGCAGACAGAGTGCCATGGCTTGCAGAGGAGTAGCAGGATCAATCACCAAGTTTGTTCAGGGCTTCTGCCTTGAGTACTGTATTAAATGGTGGAAGGCTTCCTGTGTGGCTGCCTATCTGACTTGGCCAGATCAGCGATGATGCCAGCTCAACTTGGTGAAAGCCAGCTGCTGCAACTGGGACCGTAGTTTCCCTTGGGGCTGTAAGTATATCCCTGTTCGGGGTCCTAAACTTTTACAGCACTATTACAGCTCAGTGGATGCTGTCAGGAGCGGCATGTCAGAAAGGGGGCCAGCAGGACAGGGATTTCTTTCCCTGCGGTATGGTAATGCAGGGGGCTGCAGGGGATCCATTTTGTAAAGCTTATAAGCCAATGCTGTGGCATCCCTCCCATCTTCTGGTTCTCCATGGTCAGCCTTGAGTATACCATCCTTATCCCAGGACTCCCTGGCAGCCATTTCGTAAAGTTATGTGCCTCAGGTTAAACAAACATTTTCTCAGCCGCCTGCCTCTCTCTTCTGTGCCCTCAAAGAAGTCTTGAAGAGTTTTCCTAGGCAGCAGGACCAGTCTCAGCACCTATTAACGTGCTGGACACAGGGCTGGCCTCCTCGGGGAGTGACAACAGTGTCTGCATTAACTTTACTCCAGGAGAAGGAGTTGGTGTTGGCACTGATTTAAGTCAGTCAAGAATGCGCTCAACCCTGGGACACACCGACCGAAAGGCTCTTTTCAGATAAGGGCCCCACCATCTCGAGGTCAGAAGAGGTGTGACCCCCTATGATGGGAACGCAGGGTGGCGATTCGGGATCCTATTCTTCCTCTACTCCTTCCCTTATGCTCTAGGACGCTTGTCCTCTGTTGCTTTCTTTAGTCTTCCTCACCATACATTTGCTTCTTGCTCCAGCAACCACGCCTGAGGAGAAGCTGAGTGTGTGCTTCTTCTAGAATGGCTTCACTGTAATAGTACTAAGGGGCTCGTGATGCTCTCCCAGAGTTTATATATTGTCACTACTGACAGAAAATCAAATCCGGCTGGATTGTAGATTTTCTCCGTACTAAACACACACCAGATGCTGTTTGATGTTCCATCTGAAATGTTTTGTTTGTTGTTATACAGATGGTCATTGATCTGTTTGCCATTGACAGTGGAATTCATTGTATAGTGCTTGACCTTACCGTGACATGTTGTTGTCTGTAACATATGCACCAATGCTCGTTATTGTAATTCTAAGCTGTCGGCTCTGTCAGTTAATAAACAAATTTTTTTTTAAAAAGAATGCGCTCAAGATTGAGGAATCCTCTATCGTGGCATCTGACATGCCTATACCTTTTGGGATGCATAAGTCAAAGCGGTCAACTAAGGTTTTTCCCTAACACTTATTTTCTGACAATGTCATCTATAAATAGTGCATGTGACCAGCTCTGCTGTTTGTTTTGTTACAATGCTTTTCAGTGAGTTATACCTTTGAGGAGAAGTTTACGAAAGTGGATGTCTCCATCTGTGGTGGATCCTTCAAGTTCATGATTAAACAAGACCATGCTTATTCTGGTGATCCCCCCCTTCCTTTAGCGATCCTACTAACAGAAAGGCAGAAGCAATTGCTAGATTTATGTACATGGTCATGGGGTCCCAACTTTGTCCTATTTTAGCACTGCACCGATCATGGGGTACCTGGACGACCTCCTATTTGATGCAGAGCCCTTTTCTGAACCAGAGTTTGATTTGTGCATCACCTTTCAGTTTCTGGAGGAGTTTGTGTGGATTTTACATCTTAAGATGTCTTCACTGATTCTCTCACTTCCCCTGTAATAACCGGAGTGATCTTGGACACCAAAAGGTGTTCCTCCCTTTGGAAAAAACTGCAAAACTACAACTTTATGTTCTCCTTCTGTGTGTTTACAGGCGGTTGTTCATTCTCCACTCACTGCATGCGAGTTCTGGGTCTCAGGGTAGTGGCTCCCGAAGCAAATACAAAATAGCAGAAATTTGCAGCATGAGATCCTGTCGCAGTGGAACTAATGTCCTCTGTCTCTGGAGAGAGAGGGTAATGTAAGTTGTATAACAAGTCATGTCTTGTTTGGCCGCTCTGCTCTGCTGCTAGCTGGGAAGTCATTTCTCAGCTTTTACAGAGAAACAGTAATGACAGATGACAGTCTGAGCAGCTGGGAAGAAGTACTGGATTCCCAGTCCACTTGGGTTTCTTAAAGCCAGGAGGAGCCCCTGCTCCACATCAATGTGCTGCAACCATAGGTGATCAGATCAGTCCTCCTGGGAGGGCCAACCTGTGCCAGTGCAGTCAGACAATGTCATGGTGGCGTTGTGTTTAAATCATCATCAAGGGGATGGTGGCAGCAATGGAGGTTACTTGCATCCTGCTGGC